GTTATTCTGTTCTTCTGAATACGGGCTGCTTCTCATGACATGCCAGTTGCTGCTGCGCTGTCTCTTGGGTAGATGATTGTTCAAAAAGAAGAGGGTGGTGAATGAAGGCAAGAGACAGGAAAAAGAGTATAGTGAGACTGTCCTGCTTCAAGGTTGTTTATGGTTAAATTTTTGGACTTACATGTAAACATAAGTATATAATTCTTTTTGCCTGTTTTTTAAAATATATTCTAATATTTAAATGTTTTTTCATCATATTCTGTAGGGAATTAAAGTTCAACATATCAATACTTGATGAAAAAGACCTGTTCCATGTTATGCCTAAGATGTTTGATATTCAGACAGATAGTGAGGTTAAGCTTAACAGCCTAGGTTGTATGGTAGTAACAACAAGCTTGTCTTCTGGATGGTTCACAACCTAAATTTGCAGACTAAAATTAGAGAAAAAGGAGGGCCGCAAAGAAAGCCAACATTTTGGCCCTAGCCTTCCAAGGTAAATTAAGACTCAGGATATATGAGAACTTGTACTGTAACATCGTATAACTCGGTAGTGTCCCAAATTTTCTGATCAAGGAGATTATGGGGCCAAAGAGGAAAGGTATCGATGATGTAGAGTGTGCCTAAGGAGAGTCACATGGAGAGAAAACATTCTCTCAGGCTTTCTCAGAGAGCACATTGGCCAAGCAATGGCCATGACTCATCCACATGGCTGACACTGACAAAGGTTCCACAATCTGAGGTACAGGATCTCAGGATAAATCCTGAGGGGATTTCACTGACCTTCTCAGACCCAAAAGCTACAATTCTTGTTGTATTGGTCCTGCTTTACTTTGGTCTTAACCATCCAGCAGAAAAGTATAAAAACGAAGTATAAGAAGTAAAGCCATGGTGTTATGTTGAGCTGTAGGGGACTCAGGTCAACAATTTCTGACATTGCCAGTCAAATGGAAGACTCAATACTATTATGGGCTACTGGACTCTTTTAGAATATTTTGCTGAGTTTACACACCTATAATATTCAAATAAAGGAACTTAACAAAAAAATGGGATACAGATGAATGTTCATTTTGTATCTGTGTATTCAAAGTGGTTAGGATAGATATATAGTTACATTCTCTTAACGAATAGAGTGATTTGTTCTAATGGTGTTAGAAATAGGATATCAAGTCCGCATCTTGTACAGCAATTAACCACTAGGAAGAATGTATACAATGTGTTAATTATTGAAACTGTCCTACCAATTTGGTGTGAAACTGTCTCATTGCTATTTGTTTCTCAATAAAATTATGGAAAAAAAATATGCCCTTCCTATTTTCTTCTATTTATTTGAATATAGAATAGTAAAAATAAACAAGAAGCATACACTTAATACCTCTTACTTTCTCTTACATGAGAAGCTTAAAGTATAACTAAAGAGCAAACTAAAGTATGGCTAATAAGAAACAGACAGACATCTATTTTGCAAGTAAGAATGGAATTTAGAGAAGGAAAAGGAAAGAACAGGAAAGTGAAAAGTGTATATACCAACTCCCCCAGAAATGTAATCCATACAGCAAAAATGTATGTACCAATAAAAAATTTTAAATTTTTTTTTTTTTTTTTTTGCTTAGACAGTCTTGCTTTGTAGTTCAGGTTGGCCTTGAATTCACTATATATAATAGCCAGGCTAACTTTAAACTTGTAGCAATCCTCCTGCCTCAGTCTTCTGCATGCTGAGATCACAGGCATGCACCACCATGCAGGGCTTAAGAAAAAGGAAACCTCTGGGAGGTTAGGTTTTAGTTTCCCATCTCTCCCTTTACTTTGCAGGTAAGGTCTCATTACATCTCTAAGCTGCCCACTATAGATTCAAACTCAGGATCATCCTGCCCCCACATCCCAGAGTGGGGTCCCCCCCCCCTCTTTTTTGACACATTTCTTGGTTTCCAGCTGGATCTACCCTAGGCTTTGATTGCATTGCTTTATAAATTTACATGAATTATTATGTGACTAGTACTAGTAAAGTTTGGGACATGTGCTTATCAACACTTTTTTTAAAAAATTCATGTACTTCAACCCCTTTCTAAATTCTGAATGAGTGCTAGTTATGTATAAGGTGCTGTATTGAAGAATTCATAAATAATACAAGATCTTTTCTCTCTTCCATTCACAGTCCAGTATAAACTTCTGTGATTTAGTCCTGCTGTTAAAATATCTGCCTGTATCCAATACTGCTGCTCTACTAATTTGTGTTTTACTGGTTAGCTTGTTGAAGAATGCAGACATACTTCTTTCAAAATGAATAAAAATACAGCTTTAAAAAGTTTATATATACAGGAGCCGGGGAGATGGCTCAGTGGAATAAGCACTTCGCTGGCAAGCGCAAGGGCCTGAGTTCAATCCCAGGTTCTGCAAAAAAAATAAAAGTTTATATACACAAAACATGTCAGAGAAGTACAGAGTATGATTCATGCATTTAAATTATAACACCTTTATTAATGTAATCTTTTAAGCTTCCACAAAAAATTTAAGAGTTTAATGGGAAGAAAATAGTGGTTTCACAGTTCTCCAATATTCAGCGATTTAAACTGTGATCTGGGACCATCTAAATGTGATGGAGGGGCTGGAGAGATGGCTCAGTGATCTAAAGCACCTACTTGAAACAAGCTTGACAAAGCACAGGGACCACGGTTGGATCCCGCAGCACCACATGCCAGCCAGCCGCGCCCCCTGGTGGGCTGAGC